TGGAAAGCCAGTCCTTTCACGCAGCGCTAAACTGGTGGATTGAGTCGTAAGGGAGGAACCAAGCGTGCAAGGAATCCGGGCACCCTTCAGCTTATCACACTCTGTGTATTAGAATCTAACTGCCGCTGACAGTCCACAATTTTGAGGCCGGAATTAATAGTGTAATATCAGTTTTTACTAAATAATTTAGGACCTAAAGGAACAACATATAGTAATAGCAGTACGAATAGTCCTAACGTACATCATTAGCTTCACTGTTCTAAAAATGAACTGAAATTAATGGCAAATATAAAACTCAGCTCATTTCTGGCAAATTGCTTCCGCCAAGCCTTGTACTGCCAATTTTGGTCATACCCGCTTTTTTTCGGTCAAGGAGGAATTGAGCGACATCACACTGCAATATTTCCCCCACTGTTTTGTAATATTTTTATACCGCAGTTGCAGAGTGCCAATGATGCCTTTCTGAAATGCTGTAAGGAGAAGAGCGTGGATCAGTCATGCGAATCTCGCTGCAACTTCGATATCCTGAACCGCCGAGTGGTATGTCGTTGGTTTCTTTGATCTTCTCTGCTGCCATTACAGTGAATCTCAGTTCGTGCCAAGAATGGTACCACAAAATGTATGACCCAGGGCGACTTGTTTGTCGCAACTGAACTGCTCAAATTTTCACGCCTTCCTGTTTCCGAAGCAATACCAAAAATTGTTTTGAATGATGAAAAACAAGCGGAGTCGCACTTTCTTCAACAGAAATAGATTTTTTTTTTTTGAATATTTGGTACAATAAGCCAAAAGAACGCCAAAGTAAATGAAACTCCAATAGTTCCTCTTAGCTCTGCGAAATACCAAGTTTCCAATCGACTGCATATTGCGAGTTTTAATAATTGTTGCTTTTGTTGTTAGAAGCCAAAACAGCCCCGGTCATGCTTAGGCCAAATCACACGGGTTGTTGTGCTGAACCGCTCAACCAGATTTTCAGCAAACAGAAGCAGGCTTTGCAGCCCAGCAAACGGGACCTCGGATTGCTGTGTGAGTTGCGATTTTTACAGATCGGCATGAAATTTCGGTGTTCCCAGTACCATCTGAATGCGTTGCTTTAGTACGAACACTGCGGGTGGCAAATTCATAATAAGCTGCACACCGAAACATTTGCTTGTGGCTCGAAAGGGCTTCATTCTTGCCACAACGAAAAGCTTCGAAAAGAAATTAATACGAGAGACACTGGATTGAGATGCTAACAGAGGCAACTTAATTAAATGATGCGTTGGAATGCGACGCACTTGGCGCGAGAGTTAAATCTGGCAAAGCTAACGGGGCACAAAGTTTGAGCAAAAGAGGAAGGGAAAGTGCAAATCCGAAATCCGTGCGCGACACGATTATTCGCAAGTAAAAAACAGGCCTAAACAAAAACAGTGTTTTTCTAGCGAATTGTTCTTCAAAGATGTAATTTTAGCTGACAGCGATGTTTGTCGGCACTGATCCATGCCCACAAAGCAATGGCCGTAGCCTGCTTTCGTGCGCTGCCCAGGACTCCGACCACACAGCATGTTGTCGCGCAAGTGGAGTACAGCTCACTGCCGCTGGCAATAAATGTCTCGGTTTCTGTCAAATGTCTCCCGGATCCGAATTCCAGGTAAACAGCGTTATTTCAACATTCACGCATACCAGTGCAGTTCAACTGAAGCATAACTGTACCCCAGTGGGTAAGCGAGGCCTCATCAGAGGCCACAGAATGCCTAGCTCAGTAGCAAAATGCTGAAGAAATTCACATTTGAACAAATGAGGCAAGCCGACCGTCGCCCACCACAAATGTTGGCGCTAAAGAAATTTATGAAAAGAGACTTAGAATTTGAAGCGCAGGAAGAATTTAGCAGACTATAAACTA